ATAATCGTCCGAATGTTGATTTAATAACACAAAATAATCTTCATGAAATAGCAACATCATTTATATCTACTGGTAATTATGTTAATTTGGATATTTTTTCTAAATAGTATTTCATAAAAAACAAACATTTAGGTTCACATATGCAGGATATTATGACAGGCAATTCTATTATTCAACCTACTGAGATTCCACGTTAGTTGGCAAATAGAATTTCATATGATTTAATTGATTCGTTGTTTTTTTTTTCTTATTTAGAAGACACAGAGTTTTCGGTTAGTACCAGTGAACCGCAAACTAAAAATGAAACATTCACAAAGAATGAAAGTATGCTAATATTCGATTTATTTTCTTTATTATTGAAAATTTATTTGGTTAATATACTTAATATAAAATCAAAATATGTTTCTTTTGTTTAGAGCAAAATCTTCTTCTCGATGGATTAGCAAATATTCAAGATGGTGTTCAGCTAATTCATACTGGTGGCCAAATAGGTACATTTTGACATAGTTTTATGTGGATACTTTTCTATTCACACTAAAATATAAAAATAGATGAAGCATCATCAATTAATGAAATAAGTACTAATATTGTTCGATCTTGTACTCTATCAAATCAAACAAATCATATTGACGAACAACCAGTTGTAACACAATCAACAAGTAGTATAGTTGACATAGATTTATTTTTGTCATTAAATAATCATTTTATTTTTTCTTTGGTAAACATTCATCCTCACCTCAAACATCAGATATTCCACCATGTGTTACTAATCCCACTGACGTTACTTCACAAGCAATTTTGCCTTATACTGATATACCGGTTCTATATGTTCCAAAATTACCAACTGCATTAGATACAAATGCTGAATCAGGCGAACAAACGGATACATAAAGAACTAAAACTTTTAATATGCATATTCTAGAATAATCAATTTTTTTTTAGATAATCTCGATTACCGATTTAAGCACATGGAAAATTATTTTTTTCTTATTTTAAATTTCGGTTGCTTTATAAATTACTACTGACTTTTGGTAAGAAAATTTCATTGTATTATTATTATTCTGTCGATTATTCTTGCCAACAGCCAATAAGATAATAAACAATTAAACTTATTTATAGACAAAAAAAATATTTATTTATAAACTTGAGGGTGTGGGTTTGATTCAAGATAAGATCTTCACCGAAACTCACTCATCCATTCCGACACCCACACTTTCACACCCCACACCCTCTGTTCTATAAAATCATTCTTCACAATTCATAGAAATAAACAATTAATATATAGCAGATATAAAGTTGTCTTTGTTTTTAAATATTCTATTGTAACACAACCAAATAATGAAGTTCTGTTGATATTTTCGATGATACACGTTCAATATCTTTTTTAATTTCAATTAAATCTGGATGTAATGAAGATAAAATACGATTACGAATACGAAGTGCTTCTTCATAATGTGTTTTAGCTTTCATAAATTGTTTTTTAGCTTCATTAGCAATACCTAGATTTCTGAGTGTTCTTGCAATTGAAGGATGTCGAGAAGTGAGAGATTTTTTAAAAATTTCACATGTTAATTGATAATTATCTAATGCTTTATCGTATTGATGAAGATAATAATATACATTACCAAGATTATTGTATGTATTTCCCAAACAGGGATGTCCTTCAGGAAGGTATTTCTTTTTAATATTCAATGCTTTTGTGAGATAATCCGATGCTTCAGAATAATTTCCCTGTAGAGTATAGGCTATACCTAAATTATTGTAACACCAAGCTAAGTTTTCATTATCATCGTTGAATATTTCCTTGAAAATGTTTAATGCCGTTTGAAATGATTCTAAAGCTAGTGTAATATTACCTTGTGTCTGATAAACTTCGCCTATTCCATTATAAATATATGCTGCTCGAGAATCATTTATTTCACATATTGATAAATGTTCAAGAGATTTTCGATAATATTTCAAACTTTTTTCATAATAACCTTTTTCAAATAATACTTTTCCAAGTGCATGATAATTTTTATAAATTTCTTTATGTTGAGAAGTCATTTGTTGCAATAATCGATGTAAATATTTTTCAGCATCATCAAAATTTGCCATATCAATAAGAACATTTGCAAATAAGATTAATCTCGTATTTTTCAAATTATATTGATTTGTCATATGATAAAATATTTTTTGTAAATCACTATTATTCTCACTACATAAACTCATTTTAATATGCCATATTTTATTATTGTCAATACGAACATCATTCACACGAAAGACTGATCCTAGCATCATTAATATTTCTTCTTCGTTAGAAAACTGACTCATATACGAGATATCAGCAAATGGTTTCATACCATCTAGACGTGGATCGGCGTCGATTTCGAATAAAACTTTTTCCAATTCACATTGACTATCAGATGAACCGAGATAAAAAAGTGCTACGTTAGGATTGATGGAAGTTGAGAGAAATGAATTCATTGAAATTAATTCATTTTCTGAATCTTTCAATAATTTTATTTCTTCTAGAGACATTAATTGTCCACGATATAGATGCATAGGTAAGAAATGTTGTTCTTGCTTAAGTTGTTCTTCAATATCACGAATAAAAAAGCCAAACAAATAGAGTAAATCAATATCTTGAGTTCGAAGTGCTTTATTTAATAAACGATACAGAAATGACTCTTGCGAATACCACAATAGTGCGTGTTCTGGTTCATAAAACTCGTCGAATGTATTAATAAGATCTTGTTGTCCTTTGAGATCTTTATAGGCATCTCGACAATATGAAATAAATTCGCTTCTATCTTTCGAAATAGTTTTCATTTTAAGAAGACAAGCAATTAATAATTGTGATTGAACAAAATGACCATCAAGACTAGTTGTGGATTTTTCAGTAGTTTTATTTGAATTAAAAATACTAATTGATAGTATTTCATCACGTCTAGCTTTTCCGCTTCTTCTTGAAAAAACATTTTGCATTGTATTTAATACATCATCTAAGTTTTTATGAAAACGTCTTATCTAATATGAAAACAGGAATTCAATTGATAGTCGAATTATCAAATAATAACAACTACCTTTTTGAATTTTACATACCATTGATGATCACATTGTTCCTTTTCACAACAGATATGAATTGAAAGAACTTGTGAAAGATTATGAATTTTAGGTATTAATTCTTCACCAAAACATTCGTTCACAATTAAGATAATTCCGTTTCGTGATGGAATTGAACGAATATGATTTATACACTCATCAATTTTGTCAAATTTTTTGAAATATTCATTGTCTAATTCAGATTTTTGTTCAATGGATGTATTTTTCTGAGAATTGATTGAATTATCAAGCCATATAACAGGATGTGTTCTCAACTTATTATCCTTCTTTGCAGTCAATGTCGCATCATGAAATAAAGGTGAATCAGTAATTGATGTCATTAATTCAATTTTTTCGTCAAATATATCTAAATAGATCAATCAATTATATACAATTTAAGGATCTTATCAATGAATCTTCAGTATTCAATTGAAAAATAATCCCCTTTCATTAAAGAAATAAAGATTAAAGGTGTACAAAACCGATAATATATTTTGCTGGATGAATAGATGAACACATCTTAGTCGTTCATAGTCTTTTTTGCTACGCATCAATTATTCGAATATGTTTCGTGAGATTTAATCTTACAAAATTATTAAAACACTTATTCATTTAATTGTGTAATGCTCAAAAAATAACGATTTCGATAGTTCTGATTAATCAAGATAAAAATACTACAGTATTTTGTAGATCTGACCTTAAATATGATTATTTGATTGAGAGCTTACAACGAAAATCTGTAACTAATTAATTGCTTCTCAATCGATACTATGTACATCACATAGATCGCAATGAGTGATGAATATCTGTCAACAAGTCCGGTCCTTTAACTTATTAATTTTTGAGACATTGCATTTTTACAGTGTTCTAAAGCTCCCGACACATTAGAAGACCCGAGGTCTTCTATTTTGTCTTATCGTTCATAAGTTATAAGAGGGCGTAGCTTCTCAAAAGAGATACTTTTTAATTAAACATTTCGCTATTTAAAGGAAGCTTTAGCTATTTAAAATTCTCAAAAGAGATACTTTTTAATGAAACTTCGCTATTTAAAAAGGCCTTAGCTATTTAAAAGCTTTGATATTAGTTTTTTTAATACACAGTTAGCAATTTTAACAAAATAGCGGCGACACTGAATTATTAAAATAGATATGTAGCTCTTTGTTGTGCATTCTGATTTTTTATCTATAACGGTACTAAACTTCGTCCAATAGAGTACAAAAAAGACTGGATTAAAAGAAGTTATTTCAGATGTTTAAGAAAGTAATAGAATATGACCGATTGTTATATTTTTCATCATCTATCAATTAAGCAAAATTATGCTGAAGTAATATTCATCGTCAGTTATAGATGGTTCCGTCATACTATAATCAAAAACATTTGTTTCCTATTTGAATATCTGTTGTTAATACAAAGTATTCGTATATAATGTTTTAAATTCAATCGCCGTTTATTTCAATATTTGTGAATCTCTTATAAAGAATATTCCAGCAAAAAACTCAATTTGGAACACAGAATAACTAATAAACAAGATTTTACATGCATATTCTACGGATGAATATTTGTTGATAATGTTGATAATTATACAGTTAATAATATATCAATCTATAAAATGATCACGTGCACTTCGTTCACTTTTTTCTATACTTCAAAAAAAAAATCACCCGTTTGAAATATATTGCTGATAAGTTTTAAATATCTATACAGATTTTCGACAGTACGGATAACAGCAAATTTCAATACCTAATTACGTCAAAACACTTCTATTACGTTCGTTAACATGGATTTCTAATTTTCTAGACACTTCTGAGCCTTCAACAAAGTCACATGACTTCATGAGGTATATCAGTACTTAGCAAACTTTCACATTTTAAATCTTTGCTCTTTCTTTCTACATAATTTGACTCATAGCTGTAGAATCATATAGATATTTACAAAAAAAAACAGGCATACATAACTTGATCACATTTTTTAAATATCTCGCAACCCCTGCTCGGAAGAATCACTAAGGTAGGATGAATATTTGAGGAAAATATCTATTAGTGCTGATAATGAAGTATTCTTTTGGGTACTTATAGGAATAAACATATAATTCTCAGTATTTTGCATCTTGTTCGAAATCGCAAAGTATGACTTAGTTGTTTTCCTTTCTATCTCAAGTTTAAATACCTGCAAGATCTTTCGATAGTTATGTGAAAGATTAAATAGCTATGCAAATCGTTAAATAGCTATGGCAAGTTCAAATAGCTATAAGATCTTTAAATAGCTATGATAAGATTAAATAGCCATGTGAAAGATTAAATAGCTATGAAAAGCATTAAATAGATATGGCAAGTTTAAATAGCTATGATAAGATTAAAGAGCTATGCAAATGATTGAATAGCTATGACAACTTTAAATAGCCATAAGATCTTTAGATAGCTATGATGAGATTAAGCAGCCAAGTGAAAAAATATATAGCTGTACAAATGATTGAATAGCTATGGCAAGTTTAAATAGCTACAATATCTTTAGGTAGCTATGATAGGATTAAATAGCTATGAGAATGATCAGTAGTTAGATTAGAAAATGATTGAACAAGTTTCTTTTCGAAGTCATTTGATGCTAATTATATAAAAGAAAGAAATTGTATCTCTTTGGAGAATGAGCCATAAGAGGAATCTTCTAATATGTCCCTTAAAAAAAGCTATTTTTTGACAGTATCGCCAACAAATTTTGATTCTAGTCAATTTTTGTCCAATACACCGTTAGTAAACGAGTTTATTTTTTATTTATTCCTCGTGCATAGAATGAGAAAGAATCATATATTACCCTGTGATAAGAAAGAAGGTCATATAATATATAAGTAAATGAACGAATTAATATTGAAATATAAAACTCATTATTTTTAACAGCAGCGAAAATTTTTGTTTTTTTTTTTTTTGTAATTGACAATATCAGCCAAGAAAGACTATCGAAAATGACAGAATTCACTTTTGCAATCTATCTCATATAGATGGAAGATAAAAAAGAAAAAGAATGTATAATGATGTCATCGTATAGTAGAAACAATAGTTTGCTAGTTATAAACAACCTATATGTATACGTATACGAAGAACGAAAAACAATCAATGGTCGTGGTATATATGTCACTATGTAATAGTGCCGATGTAATTGTACAATGTCAGTGAAGTCCATCATAAAGATAGTCTATACAGAATTTACTTTTGCAGTTTTTCTACAAAAGTAAATACTGTCATTTTCGATAATCTTTCTTGGCTGATATTGTCAATTACAAAAAAATTTTCGCTGCTGTTAAAAATAATGAGTTTTATATTTCAAGAAGGTCATCGTTAGTAAGAAGTGTTCTAAGAACAGTACAGACAATACTCTCTTAACATCTTGGTACAATGTCCAATAGAAGTCTTTTTTCTAAAGAATTCTATTGTTACTGCCAACATTTTACCTTCTAAATAACTAAATAACTGAAAAAAGAAAATGACCTTCTTTTTGTCGAATTTACTTAAGGCAACTGTTTATGTTGAGGTTTGATTAGTACAGATGGAATTAGTTCCGGTGAAATCTACCACTAACATAATTATTGATCACAAGTTAACTTCAATGAATATGATTGTCTTCTGAAGAAACAGTTTGTAGAAAAACAGCAGTTGAATACATAATCTGTGTTTTCTATTATGTCTGTTCTGAAAAATGCTGTTGGGTCGTATTGAAAAAAGAAATTCGTTCTCAGACTCACAAGTACTCAATGAACAAACTTCGAAGTGTATACATGAAGTTACATTTTCTTCAACTATAAAAATCTGTCTTGAAATAAAAACGTTTCTCAACCTTTAGAAGAAATTTATAGATGAACAAGCTTTTTAATTAATACGAAACGAAATTTGATCAAATATGTTGGTTTTTCCGCATATAGAAATTAATGAATTTTCGCAGAGTAAGCTGCAAAGAACGACTAAAATGACTTCACGATATGCTTTCAAAAATAAATATATTACTTTATAAACAGTTGCTTCCTATTAGCTGTTTCTCAAGATTTTTCTAACTTGGAACTGACAGATAGTTATCGTGACGAAAGCAAAATATTGTTCATACTGAACTTAGACATCATTATGGACTTAAATTCTAAAAAATGCCACTAGGTTCAAGAAGTTATTTTAAAAAAATCGATTTTGTGAGGGGGATGGGGGTCTTCTAATATGGCTGTTGCTTCATTTATCAAAGGGGAGTCTTCAAATGTGTCGGAAAGTTTATGAAACTCAGATCTATTTTTGAAAGAAATAGTGCGTGTATATTCGAGATAAAAGTATTTCGATTTCTCTTCCTCATCGTAATGTCCATTTCATTAATGAAAAAAGAGTATTTACAAGTAAACGAGTACATCTATTTGAATTTTCATGAATAATTGACATTGGATCCCTTTGTCGTAGTTTCTTAGACATTGGAAAAGAGACGATCATGAGCATTAATGAGAAAGCTCAATCGATTCTAAAAATTTTCAAATTATTTCAGAAGTCTTAACAGTAATTTCAACTAGAAGAATAGACTTTTGAATCTTCTAAATATCAAATTTAGAGTTGTGATACATTCACTTGTTGTCAGAGTCATAATATAATCAATATTAAAGAAAACATAAACGAATGAAAGTCTTACTCGGAGAAATAATCAATATTACTGTTTCAGAGTTAATCGGTATGTGTTTATTTCCTAGAAAAATCATACGAGATCATTTGCTGATCTACGAAAAATATCAGTTTTTATTGTGTGGTTTTGATCGTGGAAGTAGTAAACTTATGCATATACATGTTTACTATTGTACCATTTAGATCCTGACGATATATATATAGTAACAAATAGGTCTGATCAAATTCAGTGAAATTCAACTCAAAGAAAAAAGTCTATATGCTCGCATGTCAAACAGAGAGAACTCACGACTATAACTGCGTATAACAAGCACATCTAACTAAGATCGATCTTGAATATTAAATAAAACTAATGTTAATCGAGAAATGTTAGAACTTAACTCTAGTATTGATTTTCACTTAACAAACATTTTGCATTATTGGATTACAGAAGAAAGATTTATGTAAGACTATATTGTCAGATGCAGAAAACTGGATCTAGATTCATAGATCAGTACGAAATTTACGTGTAGATAAATGGCACAAGTCCATCCTTTCTGTACGACAGCTAATTCAATAACAGTAATGATACAAGAAAACATCGATAGATACCGTTTTTTTATGGCAAATACTTTATCTTATCTCTTTTTTTCTTCTTGTTATCTCGTCCTTCAAAATAAATTAGTAGAGCATCTAGTTTTTATAATAAATAAAATTTTGCATTT